TATATATATATATATATATCTACTTGCTGCACTATGCTGGTGCGCTCTTATATCTGCTTTTTATTATGTTTTAGTTGTAAGCGCGCTCCCCTCTCGTCCCCTACAAGCTGCCAGGCTGGATTGCTTGGCATCTTCTCTTCTGAAGAATGAGAATTCTGTCCCATGTGGACTGGAAGTGGTTTTATTAGTGTTTTTGTGTAACTGTATCAAGTAAATATCACATTCTTATACAGTTTGGATACTTTGTATGACTGTGTTTCCTGCACATAGTTCCTGCACAATTAGTTTTGAATGTGTAATGTAAATGGTAAGTGTGCTAGTCTTCCTGTGTGATCTGTACCTCTGATGGTATTAAAGTCCTGACCACCAGTGCAATTTCAAGGTAACCTGTACTGAGAGAAATATGTACGGTGTCATTGCTGACTTCTTGAAAATGTCAGTTGCCTTTTAACATTTACGTCACTGACCTGGAACAGGCATGCAGCTCTTGAAGTTGGAACTTCTGCTCTGTGTACCTGTTCCTGGTAAATTAAAGGCCAACTCCACACCTTTTTAAGTTTTTTGTTGTTGTTTTTAAAAATATATATATATAAACAGCCCCAGACCTACTGATTAGAAAAAAAAAAGTGCATGTTTTTCTGTAATACTCGCCTTCTTCCTGGCACTCTCCCCCTGCAAACATTGTGCACCTGTTTTGTCCTTCAGCACCAGTCCTCTTCCAGGTAACCCACTTTCTGTTGGCCCAGGCCATTAGGATGGACTCCTGGGGATCTGTCACCAAGCAGTTTGGGATCACAGGAGATTTCTGCAGACGACAGCGCTTGCATTATAACATGAGGCCAAATCTCTGCAGCATTTGGTACTGCCAGAATAAAGAGAATCAAATGAGAAGGACCCCACTGATCACATGACGGGCCAGAAGATGCCTTGAATTTAGCTATATATTGGAGAATTATTTTTTTAGAATATAGGGACAGATCGTTGGGTAGAATTTTCAGAAGAGATGGGAAAGCTCTCCAATGGGGACATGAACACCTTTCCAGTAAAGTGTGGAAGAGTTGGAAATAAAAATGATCAATTACTGTCTCAGCAATGCACAAACCTCCATTTCTTGTATGAGTGTCATAGAGACAACATGAGTGAAAATCACCCAGCATGAGTACAGACAGACAAAAAGTTTTTACCATTCTATCTAAAACATAAGAAATAAAACAATTCTCTGGAGTCAGTGCCCCTTCACACCCCAGTGTTGCAGAGTTATACATTCCAGAGTGTTATACATGTTAGTAGAGTGCAGTGCCATTCATTTTTAATGGCACCCCAGTGCACTAAGGCATACATATTAGGAAATAAAGGTGCAGGTACCTTTCTTCTCCCATCCTGGTACATTGATGGCATATTAAAATGTGTGGGCTGCCTTTATGCAGGGTACTTTATGCAGGGTACATTATTGCCCCAGAACAGAAAGCTGTAAAGGGTCCTTTAGGCTTTAAGGTGACATCAATGGCGAGATCTCTATATTCAGGGGACAGTAAATTCTGCCAAAATGGTTTGAAAACCCACTGGTAATAGATTTTTATTTTGCCAAGTATCACAAAAGGGTGATCAACACACCATAAACAAGTAGAATCCACAGTTTTATTTAAAGCTGAACTCCAGCTTAAGACCCAATTCATACTGAGTGATTTGTAGCGCGGTTTCCAGTCAAAAATCACTCAATGTAGCTCGTTCAAAACATTTCAATGGAGCTGTTCACATTTCACAGCTCAATGTCGCCTGTAGCTCAAGCTTGTCACTCGAACATGACCTATTTTCCAGCTGATTGTGCGATTTGGCCCCAATAGACTTTGATAGACTGCCAAAAGAAGCGCTACGTATCGCGACAAAATGTGCACTGTAGGTCAATGCCGCTCAGCGCTGAAAAAGCTTGTAGCTCCATGTGAATGGGGTCTCATTTTTTGGCCTTGCACTGATGTGTAGGGTTTTCTTCTGTACAGAAATTGCTTACTGTTTTCACTGCACACTGTGAAGAAACCCACAGTGTGCATTCAAATCTGCAGAGCATGCCTCATTTGCTGGCTGGAGCATCATCTAACCCTTTCCTCAGCAGCCAAACTGTCTCTTGCCTACCCTTTTCATTCTTTGAAGTTCTTTCATTCATGGATACTTTATACCCCAGGGTGATCTTCTCTTTCCAAAGAAGCTATGTACAGCCTCTCCCATCAGCTGTGATCTGTCTGCATTCCACGGCTTGGCCTTTTTCTTTACTGTTTTATTTAGCTGCCTTTGTTCTAAGAGTTCTCCCCCTTTTATATTGTGTAATAGTAATAATCTTTGAATGGTAAACAATTGATGTGACAAGATGGGTGGGATATGATGGATTCTTTGTGAGGACAACTAGAAGATACATTTCTGACATTTGGAATGTACTTTGGGTACCAGATACTTGTCTGTTTTATTTGTTTTAGGCAACAAAATAATGTATGTTTAAAAACATGTAGCAAAGTGTATAAATGTGTAAAATGCAGAGAATGTCTAGAACAGTCCCGTGTGATGTCAGACTGCCGGCTTTGAGTCATGCTGGAGTGAGCCATCATGTAAAATAGAGAAGAGCTCTCTCAGG